ACTCTGCTGCCAGCTCCTCAGGAGGACCACAACAGTTTCCTATCCTTAAAGAGGCGCCTTATTGGCCAAAAACACCAAGATATTAAGCAATACATTTGTGGCTGTTAAACCAATTCATCTAATGAGGCTGGAGGAGAAAGCCCATTGATAAATACTATAAAATTTCTCCTAGTTCTTGCAGTTTTCTTGGCAATATTTCCAGATGTGTCTTGTCCTTACCTTCTGTCTAAGGCTGAAAGAGAAGAACTAACCCAAGGTCACCCAACTGTAATAAAATGGTTGTAAAATCCGATGCATTCACCTGTTGACTTGTTTTACAATTGCTTTGACTTATAACAGATATTCCAGTCCAAATTGTAGTTGTGAGTCAAGGAGTACCTGTTTGTTTGCTTGCTTGCTTGTTTAAGCACAAAATGATGGCTTCAGTGCTTCTGCTAACAAATCTAAGACATTCCAATTGCGTTTAAACAGTGTTGCGTTTTTATCCATGCCAAGGACTGTGGCAATGAGTCATTGGCAGGCAGTGCCTTTCTGTTGGTCAAACGTTAGCACCAGTGAACCAGATCCTTCCCACTTGTAAAATGTTGAAGAAGCCCCCTTGGAGCAGGCCTTCAAAAACATCCAGACCAGGGACAGTTTCTTCATTGGGGAGACGTTTTAAGAAGCAAAACGGGTAACACCTCATAACACCTCTGCCTGTTTTCCAGTGAAGTTTTCCTTGAAAATTTGTGTTCACCATAATTTCCAGATTTTACCAAACACTCATCTGAACATCTCTCTTTGATCTGTAGGACAATGTTTTAAAAGTCATCTATCCTCTATTTTGCCTTATGTTGGTTTAAGGATGTATCCTCAGCCAGAAGGAAATGTACCAGCCATAAATCTGTGGGAATTCTTCACTGAATGGATCCCGGCCTTACTGGGCTGCACTGCATACCCAGTTCAGCTTCTCTTCTGGGCTGCGCATAGAATGGCAAAAAGTTAGTGTTGTTTACTTATCACATTTTCTTCATAATGACCTATTTTGTTGTTGCTGTTTGCTTTATTGTACAGCAGACAAGAATATTTCCAGCATGACCAACAGACCCACTCGTGGCAAAATGGAATGGATCATTCCTCTCATTGTGGTCTCAGCCTTGACATTTGTGTGCCTAATCCTTCTTATTGCTGTGCTAGTTTACTGGAGGTGAGCCTTTCTAAATAATCTCAATTATACGATGGTAAATGTTTTAGTCACTTTATTCTCTCCAGGCTATTTCCTATTTTGTCATGAGAAAAAAAGAAAACCTTTGACAATCAGCTATTTATTGACAGCTCAACAATTTTATGTCATGAAAATGATGCATGAGAAAGCCATCGACTTTGTATGTAGAGGACTCCAGTATCAAGGAATATCTAAGGAAGTCCTCCATTACCTGAGACCCTGGACCAATAATTCCAAATCTTGTTTCTTGGATCTGTTAGGCTTTAGCTTCCATCTTTGCTGAGTAACAGTTGGTGTGTTATAGGAGCTGGGGCTTAACAGTTTGGGAGAACATAAAGATGGAGAAAAATTCATAATAATGCTGCATGTATATGGGTGGTCCAAGATATCTAGGATCACTGTGAACTATGTCGGCTTTCGTTTTATAAGATGACATTATCTACAACAGTCACTCTTATTGTGTGGTTTGAGGACCACTGCAGGTGCATGGTCATCACAAGGGGTTTGTGAAGGCTTGAAGAAATGTTATGATTTAAATCTTACTTTTTGGTGGTCCATGACCACTGTCCGTGGCCACAAAAGCTATTTAAAGGGGTCCATGGTGCAGAAAAGGTTAAGAACCACTGATCTGCAACAACATTCATAAGTGGTTTACTCCAGAATAAATCCCAGGTGAGATAGCTTTTTAGTTATTTGCAATTGATCTATGACTGTATCACCAAACAATGCAAGAAGTATTGACTGCATTATAACATTGGTAACCATCACTTTTAAAAAAGAGCATTTTAAAATGTATAGAATAAATCTAATAACACGACTATCACCCCCTTACTGAGTTTCCATTAACAGAAATAGCAGGACAGTCCCCCATGGCTACAAAACACAAATGCATCATCACACCCACATACGCACTTCCTACTCAACTACCATGGATTTTTACTAAGTTAATTATGATGATTTTGAGACTGGAAAAGGTCAGGAGAAGGTATTTAGGACAAAATAAGAAATAAACAATATAGGTGAATGTTGAGGAAAATGTTGATTAGGGTTCAGGTTTCTGCTTCCTCTTTGGTTTGATTGCATCATTTCTCACACATACCTGACACAGTCCCTAAGATCAAATTTAGTGGTTAAAGGCACCAAGCTAGAAGTGACAAGATGGTGTGTCTTGGGCATCAAGGCCAAGTGTGTGCTTTTGGGCCACTCTTTCTCAGCTCAACTCACGCCACAAGGTTATTCTTGTGGGAGGAAAGAGGAGGAAGAGAAAGGAGCATTAAGTATGATCATTGCCTTTGAGTTATTTTTAAAAATAACAAAGACAGGATAAAACATAAAAATGTTTGCATCCAAATGCTGAGTTGTACTCAGAAATACAAGAACAAGCTTCTGTGGTCCATATTTTGTATCTTCTCCTCTCCTCTGATGCAGCCGTTTCCTTTAGCTGCAGTTTGCCATGATACCCAAACATTCAACCGTTGATATATCTTGACTAATATCTACTGAAATTAGTTTTAGTTTCAAAATAGAAGCAAAGGCTCAAGCACCAGGCTCAAGGGTGACTCAGCCTTCCATTCTTCCAAGGTGGGTAAAATGAGGACCCAGATTGTTGGGATAAATAGGCTGATTCTGTAAACCACTTAGAGAGTGCTGTAGAGGACTGTGAAGCAGTATATAAGTGCTATGTGCTATTGCTATCTCACAATATTTCCAGAAAAAGAAGTGAAGATGAGTCTATGAGTTAAACCCTGCAGCGCTTCCTTCTTGTAACTCTCACTCATTCTTTAATATCATGCCTGAATAGTCATTGATATTTGGTATATGTTTGTTAGCCCAGAGGATAAATGGCAGTCATCTCAAGGCACTCAGAGGTAAATGGTAAGTGCATAAGAATCCATTCTAAGAAGGATCACATTGTCATTCATATTTTTGATTACACTGGGCTGTGATTTACATAATGAGCCTGATTTTTCTTTGGTTTCCTTTTCATCTTTGAGAAAAATCAGTAGTAAGAATCTCCTTCAAATGATGGGGGTTTTCTTATTCTTATGGTTCTGTGGTTTTATTATTCTCATGAGCTGCTCAAAGTTGCCCTTTAAGGCCACCTAGAACTTTTAAACGATTTTACTTTACTTGTGTTATTTTAGACTTGAGTTAGGAAGTCAGAGGCAAAAATGTGACATAAAAGGCAACTTGTAAAATAATGGAGATGAGTTGAGGTGAACATTTTGCCTCTCAAAAGGAAGCAGAACATCAAGAGGAGCCCTAACTCCATCATCACTGAAAACAAGAACAGTTCTTATGTGGATATAACTGGGAGATAAATATATACGTGCATTGATATGTGCATTATTGTTATAGTAAAAACCATTATCATCTGTCCGGTAGGCAATTATCTGGGTGGATTCTAAATTCATTTAAATCACTATTTTTTAAAGGGAAATAAAAGCTGTATAATCGTCCGATTAATAGCAAATGATTAATAAATAAATGTCCAATCCAGGCATCAATAGAATCTATACTTCTTGGAGATTAAAATGTTATGTCTCCAGTATTATTGATGATTTCCCAACTTACCTGAAAACATTCTATAACCAAAATTCTGGATTGATGACCAGTAAAATGAAAAACAGCAATTAATTTTAAATCTTTATCTACTGTTCATAAAAAATTACAAAGAGAAGCAAGATGGCCCAAAATACTTCCCCATAACTGAATGTCCCCTGCTCTTCTGTTTCTTTGTCTTTTGACTATTTATGCTCTATCTTCAATCTAAATAGTTGAACAAAAAGAAAGCAAGATAATACAGGTTAGTCCTCAATTTACGAGCACAATTGGGACCAGAATTTCCTTTGCTAAGCAAAGGGGTTCTTAAGTGAGTCATGCCTGATTTTATTACCCTTTTTGCCACGGTTGTTAAGAAAATCATAGCAGTTCAATGAAAAACATTGTCACTAAGTGAATATGATGCCCCCCCATTGACGCTGCTTGTCGGAAACCAGCTAGCAATCATGTGACCCCAAAATGCTGCAAACGACTACTATTGGATTATAATTACACACCATTGTAATGATTAAGGGTGGTGCAGTGGACTAGAGGTGGAGCTCTCACATCACAATCAGGAGGCTGTAAGGGAAAATTGCCCTTTAATGCTAATCACTACAATCGTCATCCTCTTTTAACGACCCCATAACTCCTTGCAAGGTGGAGTCTGAGCAACTGAATGGAGCTGAGTGTTTACTGGCCGGATGCCCTTCCTGTGGCCAATGTGGAGTTTTATTCAGCAGATATATTCTCAATGTGCCCAGACAGAGGCAGATATTTCTCTCTCTCTGGGCACATTGAGAATATATCAGCTGAATAAAACTCCACATTGGCCACAGGAAGGGCATCCGGCCAGTAAACACTCAGCTCCATTCAGTTGCTCAGACTCCACCTTGCAAGGGGTTATGGGGTCGTTAAAAGAGGATGACGATTGTAGTGATTAGTATTAAAGGGCAATTTTCCTTGTTTTCTTTTTTTTAATTGAAAGTTGGTGTTGTTGTACTAACTGATGTCTTATTTTCCTCTTGGAATGCCTGATCATTTTAGAGACAAACGATCTGAGTCTTTTATTTCATTTCAGTTCTTCATGGTTATTATTTGGAATATTAGTTAGAAAATTATAGTTCTGCACTCTGGAACAGCAGAGCTCTTGTCCTTTGTGTGCCATCCTTTTAGAAATTTTGAACATTATTATCCTATCACACATCCATCTTCGCTTCAGAAGGCGAAACATACCCACCTCTTTCCATTTTGCTTTACAGAACTTCGTTGCTACTCTAACGATCACTGCAATCTTGTATCCAATTTGGAATGTGGTACTCCAAATTGGATAGAAGATTGGAGAGGCAGCATGATCAATGCACCACAAAATTGCTTCTAAAATTTGTAAACTATACTTCTGTTGATGCAGCCTATCACCAGAATTAGATTTCATTCAGTGACTATGAGAACTGGCTGGCTGGATAACTGCCAGCGTCATTATAGCAGCACACCTACTGTGCCGTCCACAAGTCTTTACATGTAATCCTTATTTGAGGTATTTTTGTTTCCAATACGTCATTGTGAAATTTGATTTTATTTCACCAAATTTATTGGCCGCCTGTCTTGCGGTTCAGGCGGCTCTTGAGATACAAACCAACTTAGGCCAGCAATCCATAATCATGTAGATATCTTAGACTGTGACCCTAGAAGCCGAACGTTTGCCATTGATAGGATATGCATACTATCATGTCACAGGTTGATCATAGTGTTCTGGAGAGGTATAACTGGGAAGATGTCTTTTGATTGACACAAAATAACATAGATCTTATATCTCAGATATATGGTATTCCTATGTGTCTTTAAAACACATAAAAAGAGAAAAAAAATTATAGGTTCACACGTTTGGTGAAGCTGTTGGATGAGGTCACCAGAAAGCATGGAGTTGGGTATCGTCAATATGCAAAACATTGTGTATCTTGACCCCAAGCCAACCTAGTGATACTTTCAAGATTCTGTTGCAGTGCTTGAAGATTGTTGTGATCTGGATAGACAATAGAATAGAATCAGTGGTGGGTTCCGGATTCCGTTCCAACCAGTACAGTTGGAACAGCCTCGGCATCACCTATGTCGATGCACGCAGCGTGCGCATGCATCATACTTGCCTGCGATGCTTCCGCAAGCCTCCACGACGCTCCAGCTGCTCGGCGGAGCGTCGCGCAGGTGCCATATGCATCATGCGTGTGCGTGGAAGCGCCAAAAGCTTAAAGCACATGTAAGGAGCATGGGCGGGCAGGTGGGCCCTCTAGAGCAGTGTTTTTCAACCACTGTGCCGTGGCACACTAGTGTGCCGTGACATAGTGTAAGGTGTGCC